TAAAAACAATTCTGTATAGTTTTTCCTATGTTACCAGTACATATCAAAATTACACATAAAGCAGCAACAAAGTCGGAAGTGAGGAATTTCTTGCCTACTCTTGTGAAAGACTAACTGTGTCATAGCAAGTTGCACTGACCTAATTATTTGGGAAAAATAAAATCACTTATTTAGATACACATATATAAGAATATGTTTTCAAATAATATTTGAAAAGATCTAAATTCCCATATATCTAATAATTAATAAATACATGTATTTAAACTTTACACAGCAGTCTGGAAAGACAATGTCTTGTATGTAACATATTCTAATACTCATCTGATAATTGAATTCCACTTTGCTTTTACATTTTTTTTAATATCTGACATATAATCATGTTTAAGTTTTAAATATGCCAAAACGATAATACTTTACAGTTTGTTTTAAAATAGATATTAACAAAAGCAAAAAGCCAGATAACATCAGGACCTTATTCCAAAAAAATCAATAGACGTGACAATTCTGTTTGAACGTGAAAGCCAGGAATAAAAGATATTAGTAGAGTTGACATTTTTAGTAATATATTTTATTATTTATCTATGAATTTCCTGTCAGTGTATACTGTTGATTTTGTCATGTAGTTATAACACACTCACAGGACAGACAACATATTCACGTACAGGTGCAGTGCACAAAAGTTCCACTGCTCTAAATTTGGACAATGGAAAATACTTCGTTCTGTATTGGCATGAGTGAATTAATTGTAATATGATAATCTTCAGGGAAGCCTAAAACTATGTAGAATGAGGAATGCAAGAATGGCTTTTCTTCCTCTCCCATACGCAATGACTTTCAACAAAAGGAGAACTTAATGGAGTAATTTTCTCTCTGAAAATGTAAAATATCAATAGTTTGTTTCAGCTTTGCAAATGTTGTCTATAGGCCCCATATTCTTGAATTTTTTTCCTGATTTCTCTCCTCCACATCATTACTCATTTTTCCCTCTCTTGCACACGTGCACACGCATGTACGGGACAGGGATCTCCTTAGCTCTCTGCACATGGAGAGCAGAAAAGCGAATCCTCCGTGCACCTCTCTGCTCTGTAAGTGCTGGATTGCCTGCCCAGCAGAAAAGCCACAGCTGGGAAAACCCATCTAATCATAAAATTGTTTTTGGGTTTTTCGTTTTCTCCTTTCTTCTCCTGCTGCTTTCTATCAGCAGAACACTTAATACTAATTGGTTAATCTGTTATTTAGGCAAGTATTAATATTCTAATTTTGCAGACAAGGAATCAGCTTCCCGCTGAGCTTCCCCTGGCCCTGGGTAAGGAGTTCTTCAGATGGGAGATTCAAAGTAGGTGAGGTTGTCCTCCTGAGACCCTGCTGCCTGCCTAAAGCCTCCAGGAGGGCTGAACAAGGCCTCCTTAGATCGCCGAGTTCCTGGCTCCCAGTTCTCCACTCAGACCACCAGGCGACACCGCCTCTAATGACAAAAATCCATTTTCCCATTCCACCCCAACTAAAGCTCTAAGGACTTTCTTAATTGCGACTGATACCCTGGGAACAGGAAGCTTATTTGTGACTTGATGAATCTTCACCAGGCTTGCCTGGGTTTCTAGGTTTTGCAGCACTAAAAAACTTTCCAGTAACTTTGGTTTAATGGAGTATCGTAAGATCACATTACCTATCGAACAAAGAGACGAAACGTTACTCAGTGGAAACGTGGAATCCATGGATTCCAGAGATACTGAGAGGAACTAAAATGAAGAAGAAATGCCGTGCACTGAAATAACCACTGCCCCTGACCGTGGGGTGGGGGCAGAGGCAAAATGCATAGTGTCAGAACTGTGTCATCCTAGGCATAAGCCTGGCTGGAGAAGGCTCTGAATACATTTTCAGTAGAAAGTCCATTTCAGATTGATATATTCAGACCTCTTTTGTGTGGAAATCATTCTTTTCAGAAAGTACACCTTTCCACATAAATAGAAACTTGAAGATAATTGATTCCAAATCAAAAGGATAGGGCTTTGTTGGGAAATTTTTGAAAACAGAAAGATTACTATCTGTCCTAGATTTCAAACCAAAATTAGGAGAGGTTTAGATGTCATGCACAAGTTAGAGCTGTGTTCAGTGCAAAAGGAACGTGGATAGCTGGAGACCCTGTTTTAAAAAAAACAAAACATAAAACCTTCAAGGATAAAGGGGCAAAGCAAAATTTCACCTGCTTGTATTTCAGATAACGTCATATCGAATTTGTATTATTCACAGACTCTGTGGACGCTTTTTTCCATATCTGAATATGGGACCAAAATGTGGCCTGAGTCTGACCCATATCTCTAATGGGGTGTTGTCCTAGCCTACATTCAGGCTCCCCTAATGGACACGATGATAAAGAATGTATGGTGTGAAATTCTCATCATGCAGCACACTTTGGAATCCAGAAAGTCAATGTTTGATGGCTTTCCTTGAGTGTGGAGTCAGTATCTAATACAAAGAAAGGGGATTCAGAATTTAAAGTCAACTTCAGGGCTAGGTGTTAACTGTTTGGGATCCATCTTTTTTAAAAGTTTAGTGAATCTTTCTTTTACCCAGGAGCATAACCTACCTGTGTGTTAATTTTGAAATTTCTCTATAACGCTTATATCTAAGAAAACATGAATTCTGTTTCTCACTAAGGTTCCAAAAACCAGCCTTAAATCTCTCCCAATTTCAGGTTTTGTAGCTTCCAAGCTCAGTATCAGAACTTGTAGGTTTGGAGGTATAACCCAGTGCATACTTCTGGCATGCTTAAGGCTCTGGGTTTAATTCCCAGCATGGGAAGAAAGGGAGGGAGGGAGGGAGGGAGAGAGGAACAGAGAGAAAGAAGAGAAAGAGGGAGAGGGGAGGACATTAACTGGCCTGGGAGTATCTGCTGGAGTCAGAAGGGGAGCAGACTGTTGAATAGCCAGTTAGGTGCTGGAAGGAAATTTGCCTGTTCCTCAATTCCTTCCAGGACTCTGATTACTTCACTTTCCAGGAGACACAATTCTTCCCAGCAGCAAATATAGAAAAGCCAAAAAATAAAATCTAGTGCTTAAGTAAGCATTAGGCAAAACACAAGGAGAATATTTCCAGGCAAGCAAGTTTCGTAGGACGCAGATAAAGAAAAAAGCCAGAGATAAATGGATAGGCCTAGTCTTCAGCATCTACTCTAGAATAGCAAATGTCCATGACTATTCTGGGACCTGAAGATGTGGGGAAGATGATTCTGCATTTTCTGGTATTTCATTTGGGCACAGACACTATCAATGCCCAGTTCCATGCTCACCACTTACCCCTATAATGGACAATGTATGAAAATGTTATGAATATTTATAAGTGTTTATGAGTTGAATGAATTTAATTGTACATGAGCCATAATACTTTGCGATCTTTATTGTACCATTTGAAAAAGAACTAAAAGTATATTACAGATTTTATCTCATTAATGTATCCCAAATCCCCGTGAGCCAGGTAGCATAAATCTGTACAACCCAATTTAACCGATAAGGAAATAGAGTGGTTAAAAATGGCTAAGCCAAGGTTATGGAGCCAAAGAAGGAACAAGGGAATGGAAGAGCCCGGGTGGCCGCTGTGCTCAAGAGACCGTGTCACCTTCCTCTTGACTTTTCATGGAGGCTCTAGGAGGGACACAGTGCTATAGCAACTTAGCATCTCTACCGTCCATCGTATGTCAATGCAGAGTGCTCACACATACTTAAACATGCTTATGCAAATTTAAGAAGTCACAGCAGTTTTTTTGTTTTGTTTTGTTTTGTTTTTGTATAAAAAAGGCTTCTTAATCAAATGTTCCAGAAGCCTAAAAAGGATCAGACACAAGTGACAAGAACAGACCATGACTGAACTCCCAGACTTGTACTGGAGACAAGCCTCACCTGCCTACCTGCTGAGTTACCACAACGTATGGAATCCTCTCTCTTTTTGGACCCTGGTGAGGGAGAGAGGAGGGCCAGCTTGTGGGGGGACCTTTACTGGCCCATCTGTGCTTCCCTCAGCCTGTGAGATTCCTTGAATTCAAGTTATGCTGTGGGTGACTAGATCAGAAAGAAGCAGGGTCCTACCTGCCTGACCAGGCTCTGAACGATTTGCAATTTTTCAAGGATATATTGAAAGAGATTGTTTTGTAGGGGGACATGCTTTCATCAAATTCACGACAACAAAAAACAGCATTGGCCAAATTCACAGCAAACGTGGTAGGACAGACAAATTCTCGAATTCTAATTTGCTAGTCCTGGACCACTGTTTGTGTTTTGAATGTTGTATACCTGCAGGTTTTTTCTCTCTTTCATTTCTGTTCCTCCATTCTCTCATATTTCTGATTAAACAGGACCTATGTGAATGCAACACAGCCTCAGCCTCCAAAACACTATCAATTGGATTCTGAGAATATAGTGCAACATGATTTTTTAAAATTCACAATCAACCCACTGAAAGCTCAATCTGTTTCAGTTGAAAACATGGACTTTAAGATCTTTGTACAGTGGTATTTTAAAAATATTTCTGAAGATTTGGAGATGGGGTATTTTTCTAGATTTTTGTAATTTTTTCTCTTTGGAGAAAAATGAATCACCAGCGTCTTTTCTGTGAGTTCATCTGAGCAAAGGATCTCGAGCTTCTGAACTATAAACTCACAGGAGTCTTTCATGAGCCTGCTGGTGTTTGCAAATATTGAGGGAATAGAAGTTGTTCCAGACAGAATTCTGAAATTTTTTATTCAAGTTTTTTTTTCTGGCACATCCTTTTCAATATAGTTATAAAAAGAAACCTGTTTTCACTGTGTGGTGTCTTTGTTTAGCCAAAAGCCTAAAATACATCTTCAATCCCATTATAGTAACACAAATAATAGTTATTACACATATGCCAATATTGAAGTCTTTAATATCAAGTATAAATGCACACATAAGTATAAGCATATATATGTATATTCATTCATAAGCTATAATATGCAGAGCGTTTGCATCCAATTATTTTATACATACCTCAATGATGGCACCATCTGGGAGTCTGAGAAAATGGCGATACAACTCTTGGAATCCCCTGGGATACATGGTGTATACAGAAACATACGAAGTGACTCCTCCTGGACCCAGTGCAGACAAGGAGATCTCACTCTGATGTTGGAGGTCGCGGCAGGAGATACTGGACTTGGTGCCATGGTTTTTGCAGATATAATCATGTACTGCCACCTAGTGAGACCGAGGACCCCCCCAACAGGCCCCCCCATCCCCAGAAAAGAGCAGAAAAAAATTTAATTAACCTCTGGCAAGAGCATAACCGATTTTAAATGATTTTACAATAAATCCGTAAGTCCCTGCCATCTGCAGGACTTGCACTGCAGTCCATGCATATTTTTATGGCATATATCTAAATAGTGAAGAGAGACAAATCCCCGGTGTGTGCTCCACAAAGTTAATTCTACACAGATGAAGCGGTAATTGGCTTCCATATTAACCCAAAGCAGGAAGATCAAGCAGGCTGTGACAATGATAGTATTGATAAAAAAAAAAAAAAAAAAAAAAAAAAAAGCTTATGAATGGTTTTATGAATGGGCATGTTTACTTTCTCATCCAAAAGAAATCTTTGCTTTTTTTTTCACTCCCCTGTGCTGTGTTGTGTGCCAGGCTTTTCTGGTTGCTAAAACAATTGGTCAAATGTATTAAGTATACATTTTATTGCAGTACAGGGGGCAGGATTTTGCATACTGACTGTACTTAATGAACTCCTAGTGTTCTTTGCAACAATCTTGGATTTTGCACTTAACTAGACTTTATTGTTTGGTAAAGCTTCTCAGGTAACATTTTCATTGTCTAGTACACTGTGCCCCGTACATTGTATTAACATTCTATTAATTGAATTATGACTCAGTTGAAAAGATAGAGCTCTATTACTTGTTTAAAATATTGGCATTGAAAATTTGACTACACCACTTTGGAAAACCTGGGATTGTCTAATAAATTATGTGGTTTCCAAATATCTCTGTTATCTTTCTCTGCAATTGTGGAGCTATACAGATGTTTTGAAAACTACTTGTTTCTTTATTTTAAGCTATTCATATATTTTTTAGAACTAGATGAAGTTTTCAATGGATCATTTCATTTCTAGCTTTTTTTGCTGAGGCAGGAAACATTCATTGCTCCAGAAAGTCCACTTCAAGCACAGATTACAAAGTTAACACTTTTTAATATGCCTTTAACACCCTGAAAATCCTCAGGAATATGGAAAGACTTAATAATATAAAAGAAATTTCCGGGCAATGACTATTTAGTACAAATCTATAACTGACAGAAAACTCTTAAAATTTTAACTAGTGACTTTTTCCATGAAAATAAAAGGGTATAATTAAAATCTAGATGGGCAAAAATGTTGTAAATTTTTTGAAAGTATTTGAATCACAAATGAGAAGGGGTCTGATGTAATTGAAAACAGAGGCTTTGAGTCAACATAAACATGCTTTAGAAACTCATTAGCAGGAATCTATGCTAACTTCAAACAAGGTTGATCATGACAATTGTATGCAAATGGACTTTTATCAGGTGTGGCAGGAGTTGGGTGTCAAAAATAAAAAGACATGCAATCAATGTAATTGTCATCAATAGATGAATGGATAACAAAAATGTGGTCTATAGATTACACGAACTATTATAAAACCATAAAACAATAAAAATCTGTGATTTTCAGTAACATAGATGAACAAGGAGGATATTAAATGAGATAAATCAGGTAGATAGACGAACACTGCGTGGTTCCACTCACCCATGGCATTTCAGAAAGGCTGACTAAGAATGTAGAAAGTAGATGCCTGGTTGACAGATGAGATAACAGAGACTAGTCAACAGGTGAGACTGGAGAGACTCAGCAGAAACACTGCCAATAGGGCAGCTATGGTCAAACTTACACTATCTCAAAATCTAAAGAAACGAAAAATGTGTGAGCTGTCTGATAAGCTAAGTACCTTGATTCGATAATTACATGATGTCTGCATCTTTTAGAACATCACAAGGGACTCCGTATTTGCAGTCATTATGCCTCAATTTCAGACAACAACCAAACAACCTTGGTGGGATTCTGATGGTCATGGACAGTTCACAGGAGCTTCTGGAACAGGCTTGGTCCTGGTAATGAGTCTGAGAGGCAAAAGTGCATAGTGGATCAAGAGCCAGCAAAGGGTCTTGGGACATAGTTGTAGGAAGAGATGAGACCAGAAGTTGATTTGTGTGTTGAAGTCTCCAGATGCTGGGCTAAGATTGCTGCTCAAGTGAAGCCAAGGGCAGCAGGTTCACGCCGTGGAGAATGAAAAGCAAAACTACATGCAGCCAAGAGAGAGAAGAAAGACTTATTACCCACAGTATGAAAGAAGATCAATATCCTTCTCCAATGAAAGCAGCAGGAAAATCTGACCTGGTGAGTCTATACAGAGTCATATAGGAGACTACCTTCCTGTTCTTGTTCATTTCTCCAGTCCTGTGACAAAACACTCTGACTGCTACCAACTTGGGGAGGAAAGGATTTATTCAGCTTACATCTCCCAGGTCACAGTTCATCAGGGAGCCCAAGATAGGAACTCAGGGCAGGAACCTGGAGGCAGGAACTGGAGCACAGGCCATGGAGGTATGCGGCTTACTGGCTTGTTCCCCTGGCCCATGCTCAGCCTGCTTTCTTAAACAATTCAGGACAAACTGCCCAGGGGTGGCACCACCCACAGTGGGCTGGTCCCTCCCACATCACTCAACAATCAAGAAGATGCCCCACAGGTGTAGCCACAGGCCAGTCCAATGGAGGAAATTCCCCAATTGAGGCTCCCTCTACCCTGGTGTGGTAAGTTGACAACCAAAGTTATCCAGCACAACTGACCCTTTGTCAACTTGACACACAAACATGTCACTATTAAACCACAAACTTTCCATTTCTTATCCCCAAGATATGATGTTAAGAACATCACAACATAAGACAGTACAACCTTAAAAGTCCCATAGTCCTTAAAAAAAATCAAAACACTTAAAAGCCTCTTTTAAAAGTCTTGTAATTCTGGCCTCCTATAAAATCCAAAACAAGTACTGTCTTATTTCAAAGGGAAGAATTGGGCACACCTAAGCAAGCCTAAGCCCAGCAAAGCAGCTCAAGGCTGGACACCTGGGAAGCCACTCACAATCTTCTGGGCTCCAAAAGGTTTGGGCAGTTCCACTTCTCTGACTCTGTAGTCCACCACACACACAGCTCCTCACAGACTCAGGCCAGCTCCATTCCATAACTGCTGCTGCCCTTGGTGGTGGTCCTATGGTCCTGGCATCTCCAAAAAGCTGGGGTCTCCACTGAAACTGAGGCTGCACCTTCACTAATAACCTTTCCTGGCCTTTTCAGGGTGCAAAGCCTCCGGTGCTCTATGACCCCCTTCATTCTTTTAACACCAGAATCATTCAGGAGACCTGCATATTACCAAGTCTTGCTTCCAGCTTGAGACAGAGGCTTGGGCTCCTTCTGGACCATAGCTTCTGTACAGACCCTGAGGAAATACTTCCCAGAAGATTTTGCCATGGTGAAGCTGGTCTCTTGATACTTACAGCTGATTTTTGAGCCCCAGCTAACCAGCATCAATTGTCCCAGTAAAACAGTTTCACTTTGGTGGTTCTGGTCTCTTCTTAATCACAGCTTCAGCCCCATTTGACCAGAAACCACAGATTCTCAATTCAGATTTTCTCCCATAAACCCAGCCTTGATAGTCTCTGCTTCCCTTTGAAGCTTCACAGCCAGGACTCCATTATCTACATCTCTTTCAGCAAAACTGTTCCAAGCTTCACAGTAACAAACTCTGAGCACTCAATGGCTTTTCCAGCCCAAAGTTCCAAACACTTCCACAATTCTCCCAAAAATACCAAACTCAGGTCTGTCTCAGTAATACCCCAGGATCCTGGTACCAATTTCTGTTCTAGTTTGTTTCTTCATTGCTGTGACAAAACATTCTGAATAATACCAACTTGGGGAGGAAAAGGTTTATTTGTCTTACATCTTCTGGGTCACGGTTCATCACTGAGAGAGCCCAAGGCAGGAACTCGGGGCAGGAACCTGGAGGCAGGAGCTAGAGCACAGGCCAGGAAGGAGCGTTGCTTACTGGCTTGCTCCCCTGGTCCATACTCTGCTTTCTTTCTTATAATTCAGGACAACCTACCCAGGGGTGGCACCGCCTACAGTGGGCTGGGTCCTCCCACAGCACTCAACAATCAAGGTAATGCCCCACAGACATGGCCACAGGCCAGTCCAAAGGAGGAAATTCCCCAACTAAAGCTCCCTAAGCCCAGGTGTGTCAAGTTGACAAACAAAGCTAGCTATCCAGCACACTTCCTGAGTAGGCTCAGTTTTGTTTTGTTTTGCTTTGCTTTGCTTTGTTTTGTTGAGATAAAAATCTCCCTGTAGCCCCAACTCACCAGGAGCTCATTATGTAGACCAGGCTGGCCTAGATCTCACAGAAACCCATCTGCTTCTGTCTTCTGAGCCCTGGGATGAAAGGTGTGCTCCACCACACCCAGACCTCAGTTTTAAGGTCAACATTTAAGAAGGAAAGATAGTAAACACATTTTGTGGCATGCTTAGATCAAGGTCATGGCCTTTAAAAGTCTAAAGTGGTGAGCAAGAATGCATCTGGGAATGCTCAGCTTGAGTTAAGTTGTATTTGAAAATCAAGGAAAGTACATTTTTGAAGGTATATAAATACAGGAGTTTATCCACTGTATTAATTACTTATTTGTTGCTGTGATAAACACTGTCACCAAGGAAACTTATAAAAGGAAGAGTATTTGAGCTTACAGTTCCAGAGGCTTAGAGCCCATAATGACAAGGGAGGCATGGGGGAAGGACCAAGCCATCACATCTTCAAGCAGACACAGGGAAGCAGAACAGGACCAAAAATCTTCAAGGCTAAGAAACTCTGAACGCCCATCCCCAGTGACATGCTTCCTTCAGCAAGGCCACACCTCCTAAAGCCTCCCAAAACAGCACCAACAACTGGAGATCAAGTGTCCAAATACTTGAAGTTTATGGAAGACACTCAAACCACCACACTCATAAATGTGCCCACCTCACTAGACAGCTAGCAAAAATAATGGATCAGAAATTTGAAACAAATTATTTTAGAATTGAAAAACTGAAGGCAGGAATTGACCTGCAGGACAAGCGATCTGAAGCTATCCCACCC